AAAAATTCATTCACCTTATCGGGAATCGAACCCCCGACCTTCCGGTTTGTAGCATAGTGCCTCAACCAACTACGCTACCACGTGTCTCCAGTCGCGCCAACCTTATATTCTTGATTTTGTACATAAGGCGAATTAAATTAAATTCAAAGACAAACCTAGTCTCCGTTGTACCTGAGCTGCAATTCAGACTTCGTAAGCTAAGGGCAAAGTAAGTTTCATGGAGCAGAAGTACACGTAACTTCTATGAACCATTTCAGCAATTCGCATATTTCTAACGCAGAATATTTTCTGATGTTTTTGCTCGCACTGCATGATGGGATCGTTAAAACCCTCTTGACAGTGCGTATGACGTCAAAAGTCAGAAATAAACGAATGAACGGCGATAATTTATATCTTTCCTCCTGTTACGTCATGCTGTCATGGCGACACGTACAGCTAGCACTAGATCACTGTTTAATAATTGTAAACAGAATAGAAATGAAAAATATCCGGATTGTGTACGTCCGATAAAATTAAACACACAACAGAGCACCCGTATCTCCGGGCACTGTGACGATGTTTCTAAGAGACTGCTGCATTCGATTCTGTTACGTTCCGTGCTAGTTAAGGAAAGAGATGGCTTCATTAAAACATGGCTGTCTCGTATAGACATATAGATCTACTGCTTTCTACGCTTCACACAAGAAGAAAACAAAAATACATAATAAAAAATAAAGTTTATAATAAAAAACGAGATATAACTGTTTGGCACACGAATACAAATTAATACTGTCAAGTGATTGGGGCATGCAGTAGCGCTTTGCTACAAGCAGGAAGGTCGCAGTTTCGTTTCCCGATTAGGACACCGGATTTTTCAGTTGACCTAATCCTTCCAGCGGCACTATGGCCCTGGGGTTCACTCAGCCTCTAAGAGAAATGAGTACCAGGAATCTTCCTGGGGTAAAGAGCGGCCGGCGCGTAAGGCTGACAACCTGACAGACATCTGTGAGCCGATTGTCTAGAAAATGTGGGAGCCTCGACGTCTCGCAAACCTATGGGCCTCCACGGCCAGTTACAGGGACAGCTTTATGTTTAATCTTACTGTCACGTGACTAATAATAACGGCCCTTGGATTGGATGATTGGACTTATTAACATGTTCTTATACACTCACTCGTGCTCACAATAACTGACAATAAATGGCTGCCTAGGGCCGACTCCACTCTGCTCTGAACTACGAGTGACTTCTAATTTATGACTGATTTCTCTTCTAGTCAGTCATCTACTGACCTGAACTCAGTTCTTTTCTACTCTCATGCAACGTATCCGTATCCAAGCAAATGTTTGTTGATCATTCGTGTCCATGGAAACGCGTTCCGTAACGAGTTGGTTTCCAAGAATCCATCTCCACGGGAACGTGTTCCCTATCAACGGGTCTACACCTCACAATACAAAATGATGCCTGTATCATCACATAAAGGGTCGAACTTAATTACGTTGCCAAAATCTGGATTTTAAACTGAAAGGAACCCCAGAACTTAGATGTAGGACATATGTTTTTTTTTAACAAGCCTAGGATTCATTATATCACTCACAAAAATTCCGACACCAGAGGAAGCTTGAAAGTTTTATTGCTAGTGGGGTGGGACTAAGTCCCTTGTACTGCGGCCATTTCTGGCCTATTGTACCAGCCCCAGATGATAGGTGAGGGTGATTTTGGAGCAATTGGTGGAATGACGATTGGCAGGGGAAACCGAAGTACTTGGAGAAAACCTGCACCAATGCCACTTTGTCCACCACAAATCCCACTTGACCAGACCCGAGATCGAACCCGAGCCGCCGCGGTGGGAAGCCAGCGACTAACCGCTTGAGCCATGGCGCGGCCGAATTACCTTGAAAGTTACAAACAGTTGAAGAGTGAACAGGATACTAACCACTTCAAGTAAAATGCAAAGAGTCCGCCTTCCACAATTGGTAATTCGGTCTGGTCAAGAAGGCCACAAGGCTCATGTCCAAGGACGGAGCAAATCAAAATGCCGCCCCATGGGACGAGAAACTCTATATCCCTTCTCATATAAAACGAATGAACGTACCTTAAAACTTTCTCACAATGAACAACACAAAATTCCTGATATTGTGATAAAACTTGTCATTAAGGTCGTAATTCTTAAAATAGCTATATTTACACTGTTGCACAACGTGACTAGATTGCTCAGAATCAATGGTCACGACATGACTAAACGATCAGCAAAAATTACTTTCCGGTAAAAAAAATAAATTTGCGTAAGCAGCCAACACAGGATCCATTTTGGTTTGTCTGGGCTGTCACACTGGCTTTCAGAAGAACCAAAAGACAAAGGAGAGACAAATACCACACACAGAAAAAAAAAGCTCAGGATAACAAGTCTGCTGTGAAGTTAGACTGGATATTGAATTTGAAGTGCGCACAAAAGGTGACCTTGCTGATTTCCTGATTGATTATTCTTCGATCCTGAAAATGGAAGCGAAATGTTCTTCGGAAACATCGGTCGACTTCCATGGGACTACAGAATTATATTGCAGAAATTAATATTTGACCCTGCTTTGGCGGACTGCATTTTCTGCTCTTGCACTTTCACTATTCGTACTAAGGCCGTTAAGGTCACACGAGTTCTTTGGCGGCGGGCAGAGGTTCATGCGCGAAGGTGAAAATGGCGTGGGGAAAGCAGCTCACAGAGATCGCAGAGCGTGGGCATGCGGACGTGAAAATGGCGTGGGGAAAGCAGCTCACAGAGATTGCAGAGCGTGGGCATGCGGACGTGAAAACTGCGTGGGGAAAGCAGCTCACAGAGATCGCAGAGCGTGGGCATGCGGACGTGAAAATGGCGTGGGGAAGCAGCTCACAGAGATCACAGAGCGTGGACATGTGGACGTGAAAATCTCGGACGTGTCCGCAGGCCTCGCGCGGTCGATCGCACAGCGCTCAATTTCAGTTGCGTTTCTTCTTACGCGGACTAGCGTGAAAAAAGTCTGCCCCACGCGTGTATCTACATCCAGTTCTCAGATCTGTAGAAAACTTGTAAATTATTGTTTTAATACTGAAAATTTTATAGGCAGTGAAATACTGCTGATCGGTGAAATGTTCGGCATTCGGCAAAAATACGAAATTTTGTCCACGGTTCCTCTTCGTTGTGCATGAAATACTCTACAAGCCCGAATGTACGGCGACCACTCAGTTTTCTAATGAAAAGTTCAGGAAAACGAAACTTTTTCTGACAAAACTGAGTGGGCTTTAGTTCTGAGCGTTGCAAGCAAAAATAAGTAAAAAAGAAGAAAAACGTTACCAATAAAAACAAAAACAAACTCCGTGGCTTTAGTCCGGAGCGAACTATACCGGCCAAACGACCGCCTCTTGTCGGCGAAATTAGTGCCAACTTTAGAGGATAGAGGGTGTCGCGTGTTCAGCGCAACGGATCCCACCGGCCGTTAATCTCGGTTTTCTAGACTGGAGCCGCTACTTTTCCATTCATGTAGCTCCTCAATTATCCTCACGAGGTTGAGTGGACAACGTTCCAGACCCACTACATCTCAGAATATCTGGTAGCGCCGGGAATCGAACCCGGGACTTCTAACCACTATGGTTCTACAGCCCTTCGTTGGACCTTGACCGCCTTTTAAGTTTCTTAATCCCATACACGGTCGGTAAGATTCCTCGGATGGGAGATCAGCCCCTCGCAAGGCAACATAAACACAGAATAAACGCACACAGATACCCATGCTTTGAGTGGGATTCGAACCAACGATCCCAGTATTCGAGCGAACGAAGACGCCTTACACCGTGCGGCCACTGTGATCGACTCAAAATTTATTACTATATATATGTATAATTAAGGGCCGCGCCATAGCTCAAGCGGTTAGTCGCTTGTTTCCCACCGCGGCGGTCCGGGTTCGATCCCGGGTCCCGTCAAGTGGGATTTGTGGTGGAAAACGTCGCGCTGGGGCAGGTTTTCTCCGAGTACTTCGGTTTCCCCTGCCAATCTTCATTCCACCAATTGCTCCACAATCACCCTCACCTATCATCTGGGGCTGGTACAATAGGCCAGAAGTTGCCGCAGTACAAGGGACTTAGTCCCACCCCACTAGCATTAAAAATAAACATTAGGTACTGTCACACATATCATTAGCACAGCAACTAGAACTCCTCATATTCATCGTCATCATATTCATTATTAATGACCCCAATATAAGGCGACTCCTCTTTCTTAAGAAGCAGTATTTGGGGGGTGGGGCTCCCTATATGAGGGCTAATATTTTGAAAAAACATTTACCATTTTCTAATATTTCATAAATTGAAGGCTGGAGCCTCTGATTTCTTCGTTTCTCTTGTCTTCGACGTAAAGTACCTACCTACCTACCTACCTACCACAGCCCTGGGTGAGCCTTGGCCTCCTCTACAACCAGTCTCCACAACCAATCCGTGCTGCCATAGGAATGGACCCACGCAGGATGACCCGAGGCTGGTTGTTAGGTTTCTAAACAAAATTCTTTTTACAGGATGATGTTGTTAGCCTCACGTCCAATCCCAAACCTGGAGGACCAAAGTATCTGTCTTAGTCTGGACTCTACCCTTTGACCTTTCCGGCATGGGTCACTGTACTAGTAGTTAAACTAGCGTCGACATAGCTCTCCAGGTCACAGTCACGCAAGCCCCACCATCACGAAACGGTGGAGACACCTTTGAGGGGTTTGACGTAAACTACAGACGAACAAACTTCATCTACGAAACCCACCTCTACCTGCGCCAAGTTTGAGAAGAAATGAACTGCGCATGCCCATGAAAATTTCTTCCGTGCGGCCACTGTGTCACTTGGCCCCACGTCCTCGAACGGATATGCAAAAAAGACGGTCGCATGGCCGTTATTACAAATCACAAATAGCTGCCTCTTGGCGCGGTTGATTTTCTGCGTACTCTTGCCTCGTTGCATGCTGATGCTGTCTTCTTCCTGCGCGTTCCAGTAACATTAGTTGTCACGGCTGTTTCAGGACATCGACTACGAGGGTTTCCGGCTGTTCATGGACACGTTCCTGGAGGTGGAAACTCCGGAGGAACTGTGTCGTCACCTGTTCCTCTCCTTCGTGAAGCGCCATGAAACCAGGCCGCAAACACTCGACGGGAAGGCCATGAAGGTAAGTCCCAGCACTATGTCAAGGTCAAGCAATGAAACATTAGACCTCTTTTCCTGGAGGGTACAGAATCGACTGAAGACACAATAATGGAGCTCCTTTTAATTAGCCGAATACTTCCAGAATTTTCACTTAGCTGTGTTACAACCCTGTGTGCGCCATGGCCTCCCCCATGGTTTCATAACAGTAAATTTTTCTGGGGTTGGGTCGTTAGCCCCACGACCAACCCCCAAACTGGAGTGTCAGGGACTACACTACGTCTGACCCCTATCCTTTGACATGGGTGGCTCTACCAGAAGCTTACGCTCCCGCCATCATAGTTCTGCGGGTCACTGGAGTGAGCAAGCCTCCTCTCCACGAGGAGGTTTGTGTGTTTTATCGCCACTAAATCCAAGGATGTAATAACATGGATTTGGTGTTGTCAGTCAGTAATGATTCGTACCTTACAAGCAACGCTAAATTAGCATTTAAATGTTTGTTTCTAAGTATGTGCTTAAAATAGCACACATGCAGACTGATTTTAAACAGGCACATTTTATCTCATTTAGACATGCTGAGCTGTTTTGATATAATGTGATTTGATATGTTATGTAACCGAGTCATACGAGCCCAGTTGGAAGCCGGTGAGGCACCCCAAAATTCAGATAATTAACAATGTCATCAGTTTCGAAATTAATGTGAGGGGGACGAAAATGAAAACCTTCTGACAAGCAGAGGGCTGCATCCACCCCCCCCCAAAAAAAAACAATCAAAGGAAAGTTTTATTGACCCATTAGTTGAAGTACTAAGACAACAGAAATGTAGCAAGGTGCAAAACTCGGTAGACTCTCTCTTGTTCCCCTGGAAAGAACTCGGGAATTGAGGAACTGCAGATCTGACAAGGGACATCACCAATAAAGCGAAGCCCAGTGTTACACCCATATTCCTGGATGTGTCTTTTCGTTTAGAGTGTTTGACGCGTCAGTTAGACATTAAGAATTCTGGCGACTGAGGTTTAAACTTTGTAAACCACGAAGTGACCATATTTCCTCCAATGAGAATGCAGATTACTTATTTGGCGACCAATGGGAGAACAAACATTCGTATCGGAAGTATCGCAGCTTCGACCTGGGAAGAGGGGATGCACATGTCGCAGCGAGATATCGTAAGGCGCTGTGTGCTGACCTCTGTGTATGTGAAACACCAATCCCATGTTTCGGCGATGTGATCCAGAAATTTGAATTGTGAAAGTGAACCAGTTATTACTGAGCAAACAGAGATTCCTGATTCTTGTGCAATGCAGTACCCGATGGCACTGAATAACAGCTTCAGGTTTTCGTAAATAAAAATTCATTTTGCTTTAGACACCAGTACGAGTATTCTTGAGAGAATTGTGGGCTCTTTATTTTTCCATCATCCGGTATTCTAGAGAATAGAATACCGGACGATGCTGCCTTGTGCGAAACCATGTAGTCTTGTAGACAGCCCCCAGCATTTCGAGAGAACCCAATGCCATCTTCTTCAGGGTAGAAAAGCCTCATATCAGAAACAATGGTAACAATCTACCAGAATACACAGCACCACATCCAAAAAAACTGTAGTCTTCAGAGTCACGGCCATGAGTTAGAAAAGGTAAAGTTGTCTCTGTGCTTAATTAAGTATTACACCATGAAGGGGTATGGGGAAATGTGTGTATACATCCACGTATTCTTGAAATCGACACTAGTTGGAGGTAAGTGATCAGCTTCACGCAACGACCGCTCTACCCTGAGGAAAGAACCCCTGGCACCCTTTGGAGAGGAAGCTGGGTAGGCCCAAGAACCGGTCCGGAGGAAGTGGAGGGGAGAAAGATCTAGCTCTTACCGGGACTCGGACTGCGACCACTTGGTCGTCCAGCCTGTAGCCACTCGCTATACTGACTGCGCTATCCCAGCTCCTCAGTCACTTAAGAACCTCAAATTTTGTATGGATTCAACTGGCTATAAAAGAGTCTAGAAGCTGGTTGTTGTGTAAGTCTAATACAATTTCGAGCCTCATAAACATCCACAATTTCTTCTTTAGTCGTGACTACTGGCATCCCAAGAAGTTAACGTAATCATGTAGTTCCTTATACCGAGCATCAACTGTCTTCTGCCGTTGCTAATGTCCACAATACACAGCCTATATTTTGAAATACAAATTTCCAAGCTCCTCTCAATCACCTCTGCTATTCCAAAAGGAATATCTTCAGTACCATAAGCTAATAATCATCATTTTCAGAGCAGCACCACAGACAAACAGCGCATAAGATCACTGCTTGCGATTTCCCTGCTACTCTACTAGTCTTTTAAATATTTAAAAGTTGCACCATTCAATTGGGCTACCAGCTGGACGACCGGGGAGGGGGGGTAAAGTTCGATTCCAGGTAGGGGCGAGAGATTTATTTCTTTTCCACAGCATCCAGACCGGCTGGGAGGCCTACCCAGCCTCCCATCCAACGAGTGCTGGGGGTATACATTTTTTTTCTTGGCACTACAGCCCCAGTGGGCCTAGGCCTACCTCCATGAACTTCCGTTCACTTCGGTTTTTCTAGATCTTACACAGACGGTAGGACTCCTTGGGCGAGTGATCAGCTCATCGCAAGGCCTCTACCTGTAGACAAACACAGAAAAACGCACACAAACATCCATGCCCTGAGTGGGATTCAAACCCACGATCCCGGCTTCCGAGCGAGCGAAGACTGTGCATGCCTTAGACCGCTCGGCTACCGTGACCGGCGGGGGGTATACATGGCATGGTAAAAAGTAAATGTAAAGTTGTCCTTGTACCTAATTAATTAATTAAGATGTATGGGGAAGACTAGGTTTCCACTATTCTTGACCTTCGCATTAGATTGAGCTGCGTGGTCAGCCCCGGAAGATTTAACCCCGGGGAAAGAGTCACCGGTAACCATTGGATAGGAGGTTGGGTTGACCTCAGGGCCGGATTGGACGTTGTTGAATAAAGAAAAATCTCTTGCTCCTGCAGGGAATCGAACCCTGGTCGTCCAGCTAGTAGCTTGCTATATCGACTGACCTATCCCGGCTCCTGTTCACGATATGGTACTTAATTAAATATATGAGATAACTTTGCCCTACCATTTATATCTGTCTATCTATGACTCTACGGCCCTTGCGAACCTTGGGCGCTTTTTCGGTTTCTTAATCTATACACAGTGGGTAAGACTCCTTGTACGGGGGATCAGTCCATCGCAAGGCCACTACCTACACCCAGAACAATGCAAACAGAATAAACTCACACAGGCATCCATGCCTCGAATGGAATTAGAACCCACGATCCCAGTTTTCGAGCGGGCGAAGACGGCTCATGCCGCAGACCGCACGGCCACTGTGATCGGCCCTACCGTATACGAGTATATGTTACACCTTAATAAACCAGTCTCGTGACCTTGTGATTACATTGAGGGAATATGGCCGCTGATTCAGATCTTCACGATTCACTGATCAATCGTATTAGTATCCGCCATTTTGTGTCATTTCATTGCATTATGTACTCAGGAAGGCAGACTGGCTGACATTATATCCTGTGAAGCCTGCACTTTCCGTGCGCACTTCTGGATGAACAGAGGGTCGGAAAGTGTAACCCACGGAACTCTCGGTGGCGTTCTTTGCAGTTTATCGAGCTTGCCTGCTGCCGGTGTTTAGATGTTGTTTCAGCAAAACACAAAATGCAATCGACGCAACGAGCAAAATTAATGTTTCAGAAATACAAAATGCATAGTGCCGAATTAAAACAACACCTAAAATAGTTTACGCAAAAGTCGCACAACGAAAAGTCCAGAGCCCAAGAGCCGGTCTGGAAGCTGCTGAGAGGGGAGACATTTCTGACCCTGCTGGGAATAGAACCCAGGCCGTCGAGTCCGTAGCCCATAGGCATATCCCGACTATATAGAAAAAAACATTTATAGTCCTATGCAAAGTAGGCTTTGTTACGAATCAGTATGGCTGTAAACCGTGAACATGTCTGTTAATTAAACAGCGTAAACCAATCCTGCTTCATATTCGGAGGTTCGAGGTTCGAATCTCGGTAAAGAAGCCAATTATCACGACTTAGGATAATCATGATTTTCTCAGTCACTCAAGGAAAATATTGGGATATTAACTTAATAAGCCTGAATTTCCTTTAACATATACGCACTCCGGTCCTTCACTCACACACTCACCCGACTATTCGACGCTCTGTAACATAATGTAGCGTATACAGCCGTTGTTATGCAATGACCACGAGATAGGCACATAAACAACGGTTTTATGCAACCTGTTTAAGGCAACGGGTCAGTAAACACATTCCCGCAACGACGAATAAGAATGCAACAATATAGCTACTACTTGAAACGGTGTCTTCTACTCGGTCCGTGCAAAAGGGCTTACAAGGAAAACAACTGGGGCGACCCTCTCAGTTGATAGGCAGTTCTGCACTGGAGGCTGTGAGAATAGAACCTGAGCGCGTGGAGCTGAAGAATCTCCATTGTTAGAAGCCGTTGTCAGGTAACGGCTGAAGATACAGCAGGCTGGAAAAAGTTTCGCGTGATCTGTGTTGATTTGTGAATCTTGGAGATCAGCGGTGGGGCTGTAACTGCTTGTAGTTCCGAGTCGTGTGTCTAAGTGCTCAATAAATCCATTCACCAATACAAAACCCCGTCTATAGTCACACATATAAATCGTGACAATAATAATTTGAAGAACATTCGTTGAATAAGCTAAGAGTGAATGAAACTACACAAAATGAAATCCAGACGATGGGCTTAACTTATGATTAAAATCTAATCTATGCCAAATTATAAATTCTAGTTCGTGGTATATTTTAATTGGGAACCCGGAGAGCTCCTAGTCGGGATAGAGCCCAGGTTACGGGTTGGGCGGAGTTCCATTCTTGACAGAGGAAGCTGACTCTGTCTCTTCCCCACAGCTTCCAAAACGGCTTTGTGTCCCACACAGCGTCCTGTCCAGTGGGTAGCGGTGGGACTAAAACAGCCAGGACATGAAGCTTACCACTCAGCTCCATCTAGCGCAAATGTTAAGAACTCGTGGAACTTATACCGCCATTCGTCCATGCCTTATGTCGTCTAGAAAAGCCTTTAAATTATTCTTTTTCTTCTTCTTCTTCTTCTTCTTCTTGTATTCCTGTTGCTCCCACTTGGAGCTTAGGGCATCCTTGAAACGTTTCGTTTCGTGCAGGATAACCGAAAGATAGGGGTTCGGTTCCCGGTAGAAAGAAATACATGTATTTATCTTCCGCAGAGCTGGGGCTCATCCAGCCTCTTATTGGACGGGTACCGAGGGGCTTTTCGCATGGGGATAAAGCAGCTAAGGAGTGGAGCTGACCACTCACCTCCATTTACTGCTGAGATGAAGTATTCGTGGGGCATTACCTCTACTCCCCCATACATCACCATTGCGTGATGCTTAATTAAGCATTGATACAAACTTTACCTTTTACCTACACCTTCAATAGTACGACTTCCATTCTACAGAACCCAGTTTCCATGTTCTGTTTATTCTCGGCTCATGCTGTGTTTTGAACTGCGAACTTGCTGTTAAGTGCTGCTGTTTGTCCCCAGGAGATGGCGGTGCTGAGTTCGGCTACAGCGTGTGCCCCCATTACGTCACATACGACAACGCCTGGGTCTGTGCCCAACATCGCTACCTGCGTCATCGACCAGGCCACCGTCCTGACTGGAACGCCGGCCCACGACAGACCCGCCAACAAACTGGCCGAGAAGTTGCATGGACTCACAGAGAAGCTGCACTCTCTGGGTCACCACCGGACGGATTCTGACACTTCTGCGCGCACGAGGACGGGTAGGACACGTATAACCAGGGCCGGGGCCCTGGGGAAATCAAAATGTGGAGTAACAACATCTTTACGTTATGACAACTTTCTCTTTTCTTCTTTGTTACAATAACTAAAAAAAAAATCAAACTAATTTTTCGTGAAGAATGCCGTCTTCTGGGATGTGGCGCCGCGTAGATCTTGTGTGAACCGACGATTCGGAGGATCATATTGCCTCCATCTTCAAGGGAGAAAAATCCGCGAGGGAGGAACAAGCGTGAGCATGTAGCTGCAGAGTTTTCTACACTGAAGATGGAGGCGATACGTTTCTGCGAAACGTCGGTTCACACAAGATCTACGCGGCGCCACATCCCAGAAGACGGCATTCTTCATAGTCATCGCCGTGAAAACCACAAATATTACATAATTTTTCGTGACTAAGAATTACTGGGTTTTTGGACTTTGTCCATCGTCCGGTGTTCTAGAAAACATGACGATTCGGAAACTGGGTCTTTTTTCGTCCTCAGGTGAGGGGAGAGATACCTACTCAGTTGGGTTCCGTAGAAAGAGCTAACCTCTAGCAGACGGGTTAACTCTATCTAAGGGACCCAACTGAGTATCTTCCTCCCTCACCTGAGGACGGAAAGTTTCCGAAACATTGTGTTTTCTAGTTCCTGGAACGCCGGACGATGGCGTTATTCTGAGTGTCAGGACCTTTTAGAATCTGATTTTCGTGATTTCAGAGAAGATAGTGTCTCAATAAAACCTGGGAATTCAATTTGTTTTGTGGATGCCCCGGGGCGAACGCCCCAATCGCTCCCCTTTAAATCCGGCCCTGAGTATAGCTGACAGAGAAGCTGATAGTTGCTCGGTTGCTAAAGAAATTTCATCATCTTTTGGAACCCAAATGTTAATTATCGTCACCAAAAGAACTCGCCATTTAGCCCTGACCTGGGTCTATTAAATCTAATGCACGTATATCCTAGTTCCTGTTTAATATTATCTACCAGTCTATACCTGGGTCTAGCCAGGTAGTCTCTTCTCTTCAAGCTTTACGACTAAATTCTGCACGCTCTTAACTATTCATATATGCTACATATCGCACCAATCCCCACTCTGTCCCCTTCTCACATTTATGTTCAAAACAATGCCATAGATGTACAGAAAATCCCAACCTATATTCTTCCACACTGAAGATTGATGTAGCATTTACTTCCGAAACGTCGGCAACAACGACCACAACCACAGGGCGAAAATACACCCAAAAAGAATTCATACCACTAATTAATGTCGGTGAGAACCTCAAAAACATTAATATTCCACTGCCTTATCATTCTCTGGCCACTAATATTTAGTAATGAGCATGAATACAAAGCTCCTCGTCACGTAATTTTCTTCATCATTATGTTACTTCTTCTCTCTTCTTTCTTTTTATCTATCTACCTCTCTACCTACCTACCTACCTACCTACCTTCATACCTACCTACCTACCTATCGATCTACCTACCTACCTACATACCTACCTACCTTCATACCTACCTACCTTTATACCTACCTACCTACCTACTTACCTATCGATCTACCTACCTACCTACTTACCTACATACCTACCTACCTTCATACCTACCTACCTACCTATCGATCTACCTACCTACCTACTTACCTATCTATCTATTTATCGATCCAACCACCCACCCATCCGTCCATCAGTGTGACGCAGTTTTGAGTGGTTTCTGTGCATGGTGGATAGTTACTGCCCCTGTGAATTATATAATTAACGAGTGCTACAGGATGCTAAAATATTATAGTCCGTTATTCGCTTCTGTTCTCAGGCAGTTTAGGTGCATCTGTGCACCCGATGCTAACAGTGACCCAGACCTCGTACTCATGCCATGAAGTGCTTGAGAAAAAAAGCACGGACTCGTCACCAAGTCACAGTCAGGTGTCAAGAAACTCGTCACGGAAGTCCAACAATTCGCTTCTGGTCACCAACGGCAAGATTGAAGGTCAGTGTTATTGACAGTTGTATTCCATCCGTAACAGAGTACCTTATTACAAAAATATATGTACCTTTGTTCCAGTCATCACGAAGTCAAAGAAATATTTGGTCACGTCTCATGATTTTAATAACATTTCCTAATATCTTAGGCGTATATTTTGATAAGTATGGATAGGAAATTTAGTTTGTGTTGTTAGCTGACCATGTGACTTAACTAATATATAATTTCCTTACATTTATAATTATAGCAGAATGCACATATATGATAAATTGCCACAGTACTTAAATAACTAACGTTGAATGTGAAATGCTTATAGCAGTGAACATGAAATGTACTATCTTCTGGGATGTACTGCACTTAGTTTAGTGAAAGGTCACAGACGTTCAGAAGGGACGAGAGGATTGCCACGTGCTTCTTACTGGCTATTTCCTTGGCTAACTCTTCATCCCTGTTCCAGCAAAATGTCGGTGAAATTCTACTGGACTATTTTGGGTAGCGTAGTTGGTTGAGGCACTATGCTACAAGCCGGAAGGTCGCGGGATCGAATCCCGATGAGGTGGATTTTTCAATTGACGTAATCCTTCCAGCCGCACTATGGCCCAGGGGTCGACTCAGCCTCTAAGAGAAATAAGTACAAGAAATATTCCTGGGGGGGTAAAGGTCGGCCGGCGCGTATGGCTGACAATTCATTACAGTTATTACTATTACAGAAGTTTTCATTGATAAAGTCAGAAGTTTAATAGCATTTATAATCTATGAAGTGCTTTGTGCGTCCATGGTTAGTCATATTTAATCAATAATATTAATTTCAATATGACCATGGAATCCAATTTAGTGGCATTTGTCTTTATCAGTTTTGATAACTGAATTCTTTTATTTGATTTAATAATCGTAAGCTCTGAAGAGAGGAAGGCCCCACGATAATAACCAGAATTACAAGGGTGAGTGCTTATCAAGCTTCAATAATTCCGACAGGAATTATATTTAGAAGAGTGACTCCGCCTTGGAGTCGAGCCTCTCCTGGGGTTCATAACCAGATATTAGCGCTTGCCTGGAGGGTTGCTGTTTTAACGTTGAGGACCGTTCTCGCCGATGATTGGGCCGCGTCTGTCCATTGTCAAAGTCTGTTATACACGTTAACAACATTGCAAACTTTGAGGATTAATTTGGTGCATAACATACACGCCACCAACGAACTGTAATCAGCCCACGTGCTGAACACTGGCCCACAAAAATATTATCCTTCAAGTAACAATACTACTTTGCACCCACGTTTGCAACTTAAAAAGGAATTCTAGAATTAGAACATAAGTTCCAAAATACAATCTAAAATAGTGTCACGATTTTAATGACTATACAGGGTGTATCACAACTCAACGGCAGAACTTCAGAACTTCAGGAACGAACTCCTCGTGTACAGAGAAGAAAAAAGTATATGACAACATGGGTCCGGAAATGCATAGAGTAATAATTGTATCTGCACGCCACTGAAAAGAACTGGCGACATGAGTGCTTTCTATCGGTGGGTCGGCCTTTCACTGGGAGGACAGCTCTATGATTATCATGACGTCACCTGCTATTACTTCGTGATAAATTTTCTTCTGCCAATTCTTTTCAGTGGCGTGCAAACAAAATTACTACTCTATAATTATATGCATTTCCGGACCCATGTTGTCATACACTCTTCTTCTCTCTATATGAGGAGTCCATTCCTGAAGTTTTGCCGTTGAGTTATGATACACCCTGTATATGAGGTTTGGATTGGTAATTAAACAACTCTTTACTACACTTCACAAATATCACACAGAGAGTAGTGTTTCCAGTTACTGTCTTCGCTGCGCTGCAGCAGCGGATTCCCTCTGCTCCCAGGCTCACGTCCTCGCAGGCTGGCGGCCATCTCACACCAACCTCACAGTCACACTCACAGTTACGAGTACTTTAAGAATGGCGGTTTAGCACCAATCAGTTTTTCTTGGCGCCAAGCCTCTTGAGGCTCACGACCAGAAATCTTTTTCTTTAAACTGAACCCTTGCAGTCATAGTCCTCATGTGAAATCCTCTCTGACGAGAAGATGGGTTTGTCTCTTACCAATAGGCTTCGATTAACATAACGCACATATAGCATGTTATTGAAAATTCTTCTTTGTGCACTATATACAAGTCCTCATTCCAGGCTATGCAAAGCAGATTATGTCTATCTTACTTATCTTATGCTACAACGGCAGCTTAGTCATTTGAACGGTCGTAAGCTTGACCGCCGCTAAGTTTAAATGTGTTATATTTTCTACGTCTGGCATCGCCTAGTCATATGCTGCTAACATATATATTCTCATGATTTTGTATGATTTTTACTTGTTGCCTCCACAATTTTGTTATATAATCGTATACACACGGAGGTTTGAAAGCCTTCTACAAATCGCGGACCGATGTACATCTTGGAAAATTTCCAATGATGCGGAGAACCTAGTTTGCGGACACTGCATTTTTAAGAGGTAGGTATCTTCCGTTAATTCCCAGGTGGAGCAGGCATAAGTCATTACTGATCTGATCAGTGCTTTATGGAGGCTTAGTTTAACGTTGACGCTTAAACGCTCACATGAATAGGGTTTGGATTCTAATAAATGTTCTGAAGGTCGTGGCTTCAATCATTTCCATATACAGTCTGCATGTAATCCTCTTACCGAATATTACACGGAGATATTTCACATGACAGACAAACAGGACTGGAGGTTGCTCCTCGTTATTTAGTCTCGGAACGAACCGCACAGAAAACACCGCTTCCAACCTCTCTTCTATTGTTGCGTGCGCGTCTTTTGCGGGATCATGTGACGGCTACTTAGCCATTGCCTAACAACGTGCGTGTTTGTAGAGACGTTCCCTAGCAACGGCTGTCTCTACTAGTTTCACAATTCTGGCTTCCAGCATACATGTCATTATAGCATTAGTAGTCACGTAACGAGAACTAAAAGACCCACAAGTGAGTGGATGATTAAATGTTACCATTTTTTATTTTTATACAGTTAATGATGTTATCACATAAGAAATCCACCTGCAATTGATTTTCTAGAATAAAGCACCAGTGAATCCAGCACCAAAGAGGTCACAATTACTAGCGCCATAACTCAAGTGGTTAGTCGCTGGCTTCCCACCGCGGCGTCCCGGATTCGATCCCGGGTCTGGTCAAGTGGGATTTGTGGTGGAGAAAGTGGCGCTGTGGCAGGTTTTCTCCGAGTACTTTGGTTTCCTCTACCAATCGTCATTTCACCAATTGCTCCACAATTACCCTCACCTATCATCTGGGGTTGGTACAATAGGCCAGAAGTGGCCGCAGGACAAGGGACTTAGTCCCACCCCACTAGCAATGAAAGTAAAAACCTTTAACATACAGCCTTTACATCATACACGTATTTTATTTTTCCAATGGCCAGGGCCCTGACTGGGCTCCTGCAGCCCATTCAGGGCCCTGGCCTCTTATTCGGTTTCGTAATCATTTTTCGCAGACGGTAGGACTCCTTGGACGAATCATCAGCTCGTTGCAAGGCCTCTATCTAAACACTAGACAACACAAACACAGAATAAACACATGCACACACCAAACATTCATGCCTTGTGTGGGATTCGAAGCCACGATCCCAGTGTTCGAGCGAGCGTGGCAACTGTGACCGAACTTTACATAATGTCCGTGGGAAAATATTACTTTTCATGGAAGTTTAAGGTTACATATAGGTGCATATGAAGTTTTTTTTTTATTGCTAGTGGGGTGGGACTAAGTCCCTTGTACTGCGGCCACTTCTGGCCTACTGTACCAGCCCCAGATGATAGGTGAGGGTGATTGTGGAGCAATTGGTGGAATGAAGATTGGCAGGGGAAACCGAAGTACTCGGAGAAAACCTGCCCCAGGGCCACTTTGTCCACCACAAATCCCACTTGACCAGACCCGGGATCGAACCCGGGCCGCCGCGGTGGGAAGCCAGCGACTAACCGTTTGAGCTATGGCGAGGCCTTGCATATGAAGTAACTAAACCATTAATAGTGTTTCAAACATAAGTTTTGTTTATTTTCCTCCCCCTAGACATGCGGTACCTAGTGAGGAAGTCCAGCAGTGTGGATGTCCATGCTGTGAGGGTCTCTCTTAAAGATATTGTGTGCTACCTGTCTCTTATCGAGGGTGGGCGACCAGAGGACAAACTAGAGTGTAAGTCAACGTCACAAAATTTACTATTCCAAAGCTATTTTCAGAAAAAAGATATATATAATTTGGCAAACAAATCTGTAAAGCTTATTTCAAGAAAATATTTGTTGTATACTCATATAATACTTATGCTGGCATAGAAATACAGAAAAAGAATGGTACAGTACCACATAATACATTTACCTAACTTTATTTGATTGGTTCATAATTAATTGTAGTCCACAAATCAGGATTAATTTTCTGTCAAAGAATAATGCAATCAAGGGGAAAAAGATAATTATTTATTTGCAAGTACAGTTTCTAAGTTATTATGCCTGATTGCTCAAAAGATTTTGGATAATAATTCTGAAGTTACAAATAACTGTAACCCATCAATATACTACATACAGTTTATTTTTCAAATAAATAGTAACGTAAACCAATATTGGGTTTGGGATGGCGAAGGTTGACCCTACTTACGAAAGTTCAGATTCCACGCCAGATTATACAAATTGAAAACACCAATATCTGATGTGTCGTATTTTTTTGGAGTCCCAACCCAGGGTTGTCCCTTCAACAAGGGACCAAAATAGTTTTTGAAAGTCACATAGTTATTTACATTATTTCACTATCTGAAATCTAATTACTTGTAATTCCAACATCTAACACCTTCGAAGAGAAAGTTTATTTTGTTTTTAATTTTAAAATTGCTTTATGCATTGTGATATTACATTTGAAAATGACTTTCTGTATGCTAGACTGAGTTCAACACAGAACCCTATCTGACTTCTGTTCATCCAACAATACAACAACCCAACAATGCCCAGATTTCATTTTCGACGTTGCGGTTTCAGTGCAGTATGTCTTGAATTCTGGACAAAATGAAAGAAAATGCAAATGCTCAAGTTTCTTCTATGAGCCATCTATAGTTGATGAAACCTTTAGGCACAAAATGTTACATCTATGTCTGAATCTCCATAAAAAATATCAAAATAAATTACTGCATTAATTTTAGGGTAATCTTGGAGAAGAGGGACAAGCCAGAAAGGTTATAGTGACGAGACAAATCTGGTCACTTTGATAATTACTGGTTTTGGGCTTTCACTGTGGTTCAATGTTGATGTTGATTCTGCTCTTCAGTCTTTGCATTTTCAGAGCTGGGTATGACAAAATTTGCTTCCGAAAACTTCGACAAAACTGTCATATTCACACGGTGCAAGAACCTATGAGCAGCGATAAGATCTTCAGTTTAACGACTGTGAGAGGTCTGTCCAGCTTTTCAAGACTTTTTACATGCCAGGATTCCTTTGGCACGAGAAGAATACTTCATACCATGCACTCATAACCTGTTTAGCCATTATTTGTAGACAACATATTGGCTTTATATTGCCAGCTTTGTATTATATCAAATTCCAGAAACATATAAAAAAGAGAGGTTACTTCAAATAAAAATGTGTCAGCAAATTTTATAGCAGAATGCTCAAATTTAAGCTATCATGTTGACTAGACGGTTCTATTGCATACACTCCAAAAGTATGGCATTATTCCTAAACCAATCATTCTGAAAAGCATAACCATATATGGAAGTATTCAGAGAAACTGTAGAGCAGTGAATGTAACCCAACTAATCAAATAAAATGAAGAAACATCAGAAATAATTTCTATTAGTAAATGCTCCTAACTGAATTCCACTTACATTTCTTTTGTTTCAGTCATGTTTCGCCTGTATGACACGGATGGAAACGGAGTTCTGGATACAAACGTAAGATTTCAAAAAACCTACAAAATTCTAACAAAATTATCTTACTGTTTTAAAATGTATGTTACAATCTTTTGAAACATTTATATTTCCTCATTCTAATAAGGAGAACTGAAGGGTCATATCAAGGATTCTCACTGCAAACAAAATTATATATTCTCACAGCAGATTAACTTCTACCTACCTATCCACCTACCTACCAATCAATCCACCCATCTACTACATACCAATCCATCCATCTACCTACCTACCTACATACCTACCTACCCAACCACCCACCCACCTTCCTACCTACCTACCTACGTACATATCTATCTATCATTGGCCCTAAGCCCTTTGTTGGACCTTGGCCGCTTTTTCAGTTTCTTAATCCTATACACAGTTGGTAAGAATCCTTGGACAAGGGATCAGCCCGAAGCAGCAGATTAACTCCATATATTGAAAATGGGCTCACACACACAAACATCAGTTGTATTATGAATTTTGCTCTCGATTCTTTTCCGTATGTACGAGTACCTCATCGTTATGTTGTACATATAAGCTGAGAAGAAAGTAAGTAACCCTCTGCATCATAATGGCCAATACATATACCGCCTAATTCAATATAAAAGACTCTGCATTTCGCTCACAGTAAAGGTAAAGTTGTCTCCAAGCTTAAATAACCTACATGACACAAAGAAGTATGGGGGACTGAAGGTAGAGTCCCATGCATTCTTAACCTCGGCACTAGAGGGAAATGAGTGGCCAGCTTTACTCTGACGGAAAGCGCTCACAGTGCCCAACAGATGGGGGACTGCGTGGGAATCAAAGGAAGTTTGGATGCTGCGAGAAGAGGAACTCTCTTTCCCACAAAAGGAATCGAGCCTCAATTCCTCGACAACCTAGTCCACACCTAGTTGTTATACCTACTTAGCCCCAATCCAATCTATGACTTAAAAATGATGGACCCGCTTTCTTAATATAATATGACAAATAACTTAGATCTGTCCCAGGTTTAACATTTTCTTGTGCCTAATAAAGCAGAGCCAGGGATGTAGTGCTTAAAACAAAAGTTCCGGGGTAGTCTAGCATGACAGACACCGTTCTGGTTGACAATCAGTGGTTACTCTGCACTCGTAAAGGCAAAACTGAACGCAAATACTTAAAGAAGCCTTAAGCCGAGAATTGGGAAACTGAATGAGTTATAACTTGTAAGATTTGAGATTTTCACGGCGGTGACTGAAGAATTCCGTCTTCTGGGATATGGCGCAGTATTGATCTTGTGTGAACCGACGTTTCGGAGGAAAGTATTGCCTCCATCTCCAGGATAGAAAAAGCCGCTGGTTCCTGCCTCGCGGATTTTTCTACCCTGAAGATGGAGGCGATACGTTCCTCCGAAACGTCAGTTCACACAATATCTACACGTCGCCACGTCCGATATGACGGCGTTCTTCAAGTTATAACTTATTTGTGCTAAACGTCACTGTTTTTAAAATAAGTGCCACCGTGGCCTCCCTGTGTTCTATAAGGCGGCAGGGGGCACTCCTTGACCGCCGTGACCCAACTACAGCCATGATCAGAACACAGTAACATTGGAGTACTTTTCTAGTGTTTTAACATATTTAAATGAGGTGTATCGCCTGTGCGGTCTAGTGGTCAGATTTCCTGGATACAGATCCAGAGGTCCGGGTTCGATTCCCGGCGCTACCAGATTTTCTGACAAGTAGTGGGTCTGGAACGGGGTCCACTCAGCCTCGTGAGGATAACTGAGGAGCTATTCAAGAAAATAGCGGCTCCGGTCTAGAAAACTGAAATTAACGGCCGTGGGGATTCGTTGTACTGACCACGCGACACCCTCTATCCGTTAAAGTTGGCACTAACTTCGCTGCTCGATCGGTATAGTTTGCTTGCGGACTAAAACCACGGAGTTTGTATGGAAGTCTAAATTGAGTGGTCTGAAAGTGCCTGCATACAACGAAATTAAATGGCGAAGGAAATGAGTAACTGAAAGAGAGATTTTAATAAGAGAAGGAGAAGTGGATTAAACTGAATCATTACGTACTTGAGCTGTAACTGAGTTAGAGCTACCAGACTTTCATTTTCCAATTACATGTCTCATTACCTCAAGGGTGTGATGAGGGGCGCTAATTTAGCCCCTGACAATAGAACCTAAATATCTTATGCTCTAACAGAAGAGTCTATCCTGTCCTAAATTTGGCTAAGATCCATCTAAAAGTTTCCCTCCCATATGTTCTTAATCTGAATTCCAGGATATCTGCCATCGAAAATTCTATGTGAATTTATGTTTCGCCCACCTGAACTATACATTCATCCTACAAAATGTTTATGATTTTCCTGTCTTAACAATAACAAGTGACCTCTATAAATAAATACTCCCTTAATTATTCAAGACCGTCCATTCGCAACTTGCTTCATCAATGCTGAGTACAAGAATAAAAAATTATGTTTATCCTTATTTAGAATTTAATAGCATTTTATTGCTTTTCAAGCAAGATATCAACATCAGGATAATTATGTACCTTGATAAACATTTTTAGATGCACTTATAAGCGAAATAAGTTACACCCTAAGATCTGATATTCTGAGGGGTCAATAAAAATACAGAGGCCTCATCTCTAGCACGGTTCTGGGTCTCACAAAGTCTTATCTAACCCTAAAGACAAACCTTCTTGGGATAAATAAATAATTCGATAAAACAAGACTGAAAAGGTGCAATCCACCCCAGATTACACAGTTTCTATATGCATCTGTTGCACCTCTTATGATTAGATTTAACATTTTTCTAACATTCTCTTACTCTTACGAAAGTACCTGTATGAAAATCAAAAACGCCCTACAATTTTTGTGAGGACATTTAATATCAAATTTCATCAAAATCTACCCAGTGATTCTGAAGTCCAAACATGGAAACTGACAGACGAAATCTCCTTGACATGCTATTCAGTTTATGCACACATGCATGTAATGTGTAACAAGGGGCAATGCTATACATGCAGGATGCAATTGCAACATACCGTATTTACGCATGTATAGGCCGCACATTTTTTTGCCAAAAATTCAATAGGAAAACTGGGGTGCGGCTTATATTCGAAATATTCGAAATCACACTTCATTTAAAAAAAATTATATTAGTAATAAGTAATACAGGGTGTAATACTCCTGAAATAATATTCCAAGAAAATTATTTTTTCTATAATTTCTGTCTGAAAATTGTGCTGCGGCCTATACACGCACGCGGCCTATACATGCGTAAATACGGTATCTTTCAAGGACGCCTGAAATATCGATATATTTTGGTAACATTCAGTTTCTTTGCAGGAAATGGACTGCATCGTTAATCAAATGATGAATGTTGCTGAATACCTTGGCTGGGATGTTACAGAACTCAAGCCTGTAAGTTTACTAATTTACATGTTCATACTGTGAATACACTACAAACACCTGGCAGTAAAAATATTATGTTTTGGACACTATCCATCGTCTTATCTAGATCTAAAAACCGTCCTGTTTATTTTTCAAAACACAACGTTTCGGAGACTGGATTCTGTCTCTGTCTACAGGTAAAACCTACTCAGTTGGGCCCAATCGACAGAGCTAGCCCCTATCTTCAGACACCTGTGCCAGCTTCATGAAGGAGTACACGGTCTCCGAAACGTCGTGTTTTGAAAAATAAACAGGACGGTTTTTAGATATAGATAAGACGATGGATAATGTCCAAAAACATAATATTTGTACTAATGTACCATCGTCACAAACTTTTAGACTCTGGTAGTATTCATCTGTAGATATTTTAACAATGCTCTCAATAACTCAGACCATAGAGTGTTCAGTGACTGGATGACAGTGAAAGGAGAACTGACAAGGGTATAGAAGAAAGTAGTCATGGCCTAATGTAAGTATTACTCCCCTATTTGGCTGGAGGGGCTGAGGAAAGCCATGAAACCCCTCAGGATAATCGTTTCATGGTTTAAATTTCAAAAAGTACCTCCCAAATACAAGTGAGCAGTGTTAAGCTAAGTTTGCAGGTCTTGTTATATGAAGTGTGCTTATCACAATATTGTAACGGATTTGATCAACACGTTGCCAGACAACAGCTTTATAAACACGGTCCAACACGCAGCAATAGATGAGGATGTGTTTTCTATGTCGTCCACTCCAAGTCCAGCGCTGTTAACGGACCAATCAACCTGCGGGCTGACAAGTGGCACGTATTTTCTCTGTGGTCTCCGCCATGCAACAATAGAGGAGTTATGTTTTCTGGGAGTGGTCCGTGCTGAGATGAGAATACGGGAATGGGAACTGACTTCACTTGAGCTCCGAAGTTCCAAGGGAACAACAGTTTTGCCAGGAGAAGGATCAGAAGACTTAGTGTGTGACGTTACATGTGCAGTAGTACATCGATATAGGGAGTGTGTAATTTAGTGAGACTTTTATAGTTCCTCTGTTGTAAATCCTTTGCAGGAAACCGATAGTGAAGACCAGTGGAAATAAACTGAGAAGATTAGTGTGGAGTGACTGTAAATTTTATAAAGCAGCAGCAGTGTAATAATTATTTGTAGTTTCGACTGACGACCTGTAGGTGGTTAATAAATGCAATTACCAATTCGAGCTCCATCTATAGTCACTCCTACATGTGACAATATACTCGTAAAATGGTAATTTCATGTAAGAAATTATGTGATTTGCTGAACAGTTTTAATTTATATGAATACAAATCATACTCTCCAAATTTATCTCTGACCAATTCTTTCTCGGTACCTCTTACTCATATTCAAGTAACCCCAAACAGATTGCTCATATCCCTTCATGTATCTTCACATTTTCGCTGTCACATTTTTCAATTCTGACAAAGCCTTTCGGCTATTTTTTTGTCCCAGATTTTTTACAAACCTTTCAGATGTTACAAGAACCGCAAGAAGAAGTACAATGTCATATCAGTTTATAGTTTTTCAATCTGGCTCCAGAATTCAGCAAGACATGAAGTGTTTGATACAGTACTGTATTCCGGGCTGGCAAGAACAACAAAACAGAACAAACTCTATAAACATATGTAGGATTTGAGGTTCTCTCAGCGGTGGCTATGAAGTTCTATCTTCTGGCATATAACGGCATGTAGTGCATTGAAAGTGAACCGAAATTTCAGAGAACCACGTTGCGTCCATCTTCAGATAGAAGACTAAGCCAAACAATAAATTGGCTTGCTCTGCTTGTTACCTGCTTCACGCTGTTTCTTGCTTGGTTCATTCTTTGACCCTGAATATGGAGATGATATATTCCTTCGAAACGTCGGTCGATTTCGATGGACTAAATGGCGCTATATCTGTAGTCTAGTGATCATAGTTCCTGGCTACAGATCCAGAGGTCCGGGTTCGATTCCCGGCGCTAACAGATTTCTTGAGAAGTAGTGGGTCTGGAACGGGATCCACTCAGCCTCGTGAGGATAATTGAGGAGCTATTTCAGGAAAATAGCGACTCCGGTCTAGAAAATCGAAATCAACGGCCGTGGGGATTCGTTGCGCTGACCAAGGGACACCCCGGTTTAGAAAACTGAAATTAACGACCGTGGGGATTCGTTGCACCGACCACACGATACCCTCTATCCGCTAAAGTTGGCACTAACTTCGTCGACAAGTGGCGGTCGCTCGGTCGATATAGTTCGCTTGCGGGCTAAAACCACGGAGTTTACACGGCGTTATATGCCAGAAGACATAACTCGTCTAAATGCTTATGTTCTGGTGTCGTCATCACACACACTACACCCTAGCAATTTGTATATGAGGGGACAGTAAGGAGAAGTTAAATTCGTTGAAACATTTACTATGCAATATACTACTTAACTAGGAAGCTGCCTGAGATAGTAACACTTCAGCCTTGTCAAGATATTCCTGGTTTAGATGTTGGCCATGATATTCACTACACTTACTGCAATTTGTTGTGGTTTTCCTCAGTTTCTCCAAGAAAATGCCCAGATATTGCCTCAAATTATGATATGACAGCTTCTTTCTACATCGTAGCCGAGGCACTATGCTACAACCCGAAAGGTCGCTGGTTAAATTCCCGGTGGGGTCATTGGACTTTTCAATTTATCTAATCCTTCCAGTCGCAATATGACCCTAGGGTCGACTCAGCCTCTAAGAGAAATGAGTACCAGGAATCTTCCTGGGGATAATGGGCGGCCGGCCGGCGCCATCTGTGAGCCGATTTTCTAAAGTAAATGTGGGAGGCTCAATGTCTCAGAACTCTATGGGTCTCCACGGCCTGTTACAGGGATAGCTTTACCTTTTTTGCCTCATCCCATCATTCAATATTATGTTGTCTCAGCTACTGAGACCATTATCCAATAAATAATAAACAAAATTAACTATGCTAATTTTTATTACTAAGCCCCACAGACTGTAGTACCTATGACCCAATGGTGACTATATTTTTCAGCCTCTGAACTTCAACTGATAGGGAAACAGCCATGCTCTAACACCATCATCTTTCCTGTGTTCACAGATCCTCCAAGACATGATGGTGGAAATTGATTATGATGCAGATGGTACAGTGTCCCTGGAAGAATGGAAGCGTGGTGGCATGACAACCATTCCATTGTTAGTGCTCTTAGGTCTAGATACGGTGAGTATAATCCTGATAATATTATGATATATGTTCACAAAATGCCGCCTCTATGGTCTAGTGGTCAGAGTTCCTGGCTACAGATCCTGAGGTCCTGGGTTCGATTTCCGGCGCTACCACATTTTCTGAGAAGTAGTGGGTCTGGAACGGGGTTCACAGCCTCGTGAGGATAATTGAGGAGCTATTTCAAGGAAATAATGGCTCCGGTCTAGAAAACCGAGTTTAACGGCCGTGTCGGTCCGTTGCGCTGACCACGCGACACCTTCTATTCGCTAAATTTGGCACTAACTTCGCCCGACAAGCGGCGGTCGCTCGGTCGGTATAGTTCGCTTGCGGACACAAGCCACGGAGTTTGTTTGCTTAGTTTGTTCACAAATTGCTAAGACAGATTTTATTCTATCAGAATTGTTGTCACAGAAACGAGTGTTCTGTGCTGTGCGTTGGAGCTGGAACACGTTTGGCCAACCGTTATTTAGTAATGGGTCAAAGTTAAAGTTATGTTACGACCGAAGGAGAGTCGGCCAGTATGTCTTGGTATCAAGCACCCATCTGGGGCTTAAGACCAGACCTATATTACTGTCAGACAGCTGCGGGTTTGTTGATGTGGGGCGCTCTCTCTGACGAGAGGACGAGTCTGTCGTTTAAACTGCTGTTGGCCGTCCCCAGCGCAGTTACTCTCGTGTCCGGGTCCCGTGGCACTTGTGACCATAATTTTACTGTCTCAGAATCAAGACTTCCATTTTCGTCGCCTCCTACGTCTCACAGGGTCACGGTGACCGGTCTATCTTGGGATAAAGCACCCACCTGGGGCTTACAATCAGATTTTCATTGCTGTCAGAGAGTTGCGGTTTTGAAGTGAGGCGATCTCTCTGACAAGAAGACGGGTCTGTCGTTTGCAATTGCCGCTGGTCCTCGCCAGCGCAGTCATTTTGGGTCCGAGTCTCGTGAGACTTGTAATCATATTTTACTGTGTCAGATTTGAGACTTCCCTTTTCGTCACCTCGTATGACTCGCAGGGCTACGGTGGAGGTATTTGACCCCACCTCCACATGTGAGCCCTCCAATTTATCTGTAGCAGAAAATTACAGTAGCAATGGTTCTCTTCTTAGTGCAGAACTTTCAGTCTTGTTTAAACTTCTAATATACATTTTAAACATTCTGAAAACAATGAAGTAGCACTGTAAATCAAATCCTGTGTTTCTGCTTGATGTACAACATTATCTCATCATTGGGTTTATACTTGTGTCTGTAATTTCCCCAAATTTCAGTCTGTAACATTTGTAACAATTATAGTCCTATAAGATTTGAGGCTTTCACGGCGGCGACTATGAAGAAAGCAGTTTTCTGGGATTTGGCACCGTGTATATGTGGTGTTAACCGACGTTTAGGAGGAACGTATCGCCTCCATCTTCAGAGTAGAAGAAAAAATATAAGAAATCTGCAAGCGAAGAGACCGTGAGAACCGGTAAAAGCAGACAGATGGAGGCGATACATTCCTCCGAAACGTCGGTTAACACCACATATACACGGTGCCAAATCCCAGAAGACTGCTTTCTTCAATTATAGTCCTGTTTCCACTGCATATAAATTTATTGGCTTATTGAAGACGTTTGCTCATATTCCAAAACATAAATGTAGTGCTGGAGACGTGACTGAAATCCTAAACATTTCTTAACGATTAAAACATTAACATTGTTCATCTTCCTGTGACATTTCTGAAAGTCACTGAAATAAACTCCGCTAAAATCTAATTTCTAATAGTGTGCATTACTTCCATATTTTGACCACAAAGCAATATTTTTCTGCAACAGAATTCTGTTATCTCCAGGTTTCAGCAACATAATTTTAAAGAGAAAAGTCTGAACTGATGCATAAATTCTTGCATTACAAGGTTTCTACTTGTTATTTTCTGATCTTTTTGTTTTATACTGACTGAGAGATCATGCTAGAACCATCATTTGTAACACCAGAAACCGATAACATACATTTTATACTTAGTTTAGCCTATACTTTATGAATGCTAAACACTGTTGATGAATAATAATTGGCAGCATTTATTAATGAACAGAAACACTGATTCTGTATGAAACTCAAACCAAACAGAACATAAGCAAAATTAGGACTTGCTTCTGATATACCATGCAACAGGAAAGAATGGGAGATCACATCCAAAGAGGAAGAGTAACTGTGAGTTACAAATGTATGGGATCAACTGCCTAAGTAGTACAAATAAAATTTGTATAAGTGTTCTACAGATATCCTGAAAATGTTCGCTGTGAGAACATCTGAAATATTGATAAATACCCAAAAGACTGCATGGCGTATTAACCTACAAGACCACAATTTAAATTGCTGAATCTCAATTTTCAAGTAACAGTCTACAATGAATATTAGAGTTAATTTTACCGACCACACAACACGTTTTTTATTTACTGTCACACTACATGTTTCGACCTCAAGAGGTCATCCCCAGGTGTACGAACACAGTTGCACAATCACACACAATCACATTCGTTTTTCCACTTATTTTGATCCTGTATCCTGTTCAGGTCCACGCTCAAATAATATGTGTCAAGTTCTTCTTATAAAATATAAGTTAAAAATAAGTTAAAAATACAAATGTTGAAAGTTAAAATTTAGAAATTAAAATTTAGTTCACTGTAGCTAGTTATATTATTACCACTTGGTTAAGAAGTTCATGAAATAAACTTCAACTCATCACATTGACTGCTCTTTCACTTTTGAAGGTCTTGTTGTTCTTTGGCATCCTCTGATGTTGGATCTATTACGTTCCTTGTCGTGATGGCTACTGATTGTCTTGTTTGTTGGGTTGGTTCCTGTAGGGTATTAGTGTTGGTGGTGGGGGGGTGTGCGGGTAGGGGTGGGGGTGGTATTCTGAGAAGATAAGTAAGTGGTTTTGGGATATATTATATTTCTTGCGTTTGATTTGCTTTTATTAGGTTATCATAAATTGGGTTGTAACTATCAGTCAAAGCTTCGTTCATTTGTAGATTTTGCTTAGTTAATTCATATATGTGGAAGCTTTCTAGTGTGTTCAGCATTTTTCCTTTCTTTTCTATGTGGAGTATTTCCATTGCTTTGTCTATGGTGTGGTAATTGTGCGTTGTGTCCAGTATGTGTTGGGCGAATTTTGATTTCTGCCCATTCGTTTTTATTTCCCTGATGTGTTCTTTGTATCTTGTTCTGAAGTTACGTCCTGTTTGGCCGACGTATTTTAGGTCACAATCTTTACACGTCATCTGGTATACTCCACAAAGGTTGTATTTATCCGCTGTTTCATGTTTTGTTCTTAGAAGCTTTTTTATTGTATTATTTGTTTTGAAAGCTATTTTTATATTGATATTTCGAAATAGCTTAGTGATTCTTCTAATGTTGGGGCCGAAGTATGTAAATTTGGTCCATTTTTTCTTCTGTGGTGTGTTGTTGTTAGGTGGTTTCGTATTGTAATTTCTCGCATATGGTGAATATTCATTATTTACAAGTATACGAGTTATAATATCTTCTTCTTTTATTGTTCCTTCGTTGGTGAGCTTGTATGTATTTATTCGATTGCGGAGGTAGTTGATAGCTGCCTTTTTATGTTCGTATGGATGATATGAAGTATTATGCAGTATGAGGTTGGTAGATGTAGGTTTCCTGTATATTTCAAATCTCAATTTTCAAGTAACAGTCTACAAGCCAGCAACAGTTTATTACAAGAAGCTGCTTATGAAATTGTTCCAAGAGTCTATAAAAATAATCATTTCTAACTACCTGTAATACTTGAATTTTTTACAGTAAAATCCTTCTTAAGAAGTCACCAGTCACTCTGGTAATGTAGAAATTCCCAAACTTTTATGGAACCCAGGAGTTCATTACAGTGTTCTAAGGAAATAAGCACAGATTGCAATCCTGAATCAGACAAATCCAATAATTACCCAGTACGCTATTTCCTTAAGATCAATATTACTGTTACCTTCCCAGTTATGCCTAGTTCTTCCAAGTGGTCTCTTTCCTTAATGTTTTCTGACTAACATTTTTATGCATTTCTCATCTCTCTCATAATGTCCTACTTGCCTCACTCTCTCTTCCACCTTTATTTCAACATCCTACCATTATTCTGTGAAGTTCCCCATAACAACTTTCTCCCCAGCATCCTGTTATGCTTACTGGAATATTTAACACGATGTTCTTAAATTATATGTTGTGACTGAGAATTAAAAGCAATGATAGTATTATAATTTCAATGAAAGCCTTTCTCTGTATGCTGTCCTTGAAAGAATTGCAAAAAATGTACTTTTTTTTATGTAGATAATGAGTTATTTTACATATTTGTTTCATACAGCCTATATTACATTGTTCAAGACACACTGCAACTTTACCTTATGGGTTTTAAATCAATTTTTGTTCATACTGAAACAAGCCAACTCCAGCAATCGTATGGGTACGTTTATCCTACACTCAGTGTTGCAAGTGTGCTATCAGAAGTGACACACTGATACAGTATTATACTAATTCTATATACTTCACTTACTAAACGGAGTAGAATCCTTCTTAAGAAGCTAAGAGTTGAGTAGATAATCAAGAATTTCCCACCGTTATATGGAATCTGCCTGAAAGGACCACTGCCAGTTCTAGGGAGCCAACCACTGGCACCTATCCAGAGCAAAACTTATCTGATCCATACAATTCATCCTATTTCGAGTTACTTAGTAAATATTATTCTCCCATCAATGTCTAGGACTTCCAAATAGTCTTACTCCTTCATATACTCCTACCAAAACTCTATATGTCTTACCCTTCATGCCCATGATCCACCAGTCACATTCTACTTAATGTTATCTTGATAACAGTATTTGGCAAGGCGTACCAATTACGCAGTTCCTCAAGGCAAGACAAAACCTAAACATAACCAGTGGGAAGGAAAGAACCTGGTTTAAAGGCATTTGACAACTGATGGCCTACAGTTATGAGATTACATGATTACCAACATCCACCAATAAAGGGAATCACTACGTTTATTCTGTGTTGTTGCAGAATGTTAAGGAAGATGGTAATCATTTGTGGCGACTGAAGCACTTCAGCAAACCAGCTTACTGTAACCTATGCCTCAATATGTTGGTTGGGCTTGGCAAGAAAGGGCTCTGCTGTGTTTGTAAGTGTATTTTGGTTATCCTGTTCATGAAAGTGCTTGACATAACAAAATCAATATTGGAATGGTCTTTAACTGTGACAGACTTTATTCTCAAAGTGGTTACCACAAGTCAGTAACTAGACAACAGATTTAACACCAAAAACAGGGCCAATTATTATTCAGTGGGTACCAGAAGCTCTTCCTCTGAGGGAAAAATTCATGGAACATGAAGCTGACTACTAACCTCCATCTCGTGTTGAGGTCAAGAATGGTGGAGCTTTGTCTTCACTCCCCATTAGCCTTCATGACATGGTGCTTAATTAATTAAGCATAGATAAAATGTTACTTTTACGTTAGAAAATGTCATTGTGATTCCGTAGCTTTAACTGATGACACACAAGAGATAAGAGATCACAGATCACAAGCCCTTCTGGCACATATACGTAACTAATTATTTGGTCAGTTATTCTGTCAGCTTATATCTGATTAACAGCTCAGCTGTTCTAAGGATTGTGTCTTGTATTTCAGTCTGTAAATATACTGTGCATGAGCGGTGTGTGCAGAGAGCCCCAGCCTCTTGTATAGCAACATATGTTAAATCAAAGAAGACCTCTCAGCTCATGTCACACCACTGGGTAGAGGGAAACTGCCATGGAAAATGCTCCAAGTGCAAGAAAACCATCAAGAGTTACAATGGCATCACAGGGCTGCATTGTCGGTGGTGTCAAATCACTGTAAGTCATCTTTCTTGTTTTTAAAAACCTTAAAATTCTCCACACATTATAAAAAATGTACGAAATTCATTATAGGATTGTTAAAATTAAGACATTGCTCCTGTAAACCTCCCTGTTTAAATCAGTATTTTTCAAAATGTGGCATCAATGGCCCTAGTAGTATCAAAGCAGCTTGCAGCGGTACCATAAGTCTTCATAGACAATTTTCAGCATTAAATAATAGTGAACTTTCAATGATTATTGTTCTAATACCATAAACTGCTTTGTAACAAATTAGAACATAACAAAGAAGTAACCCACAGTGACACAAGATATTCTGGTGATGTATCTATCAGCTGAAAACAAAATACATTAATTTATTCCTGTTCTGATCCAATTTCTCATTGGATCCTTATGTATGTTTAGCTGTTTCAGAGAGTAACAAGCACAAAAACTTTGACATGTCTTTTCTTTTGATGACTGCCGTTACATGGCTATATGAATTATATAAGGGGAAGACAATATCTCATCCTGTAGATGTTTTAAAAATATATAAACTTGTTTACCTTTCACATGCTTAGAATTATTGTAAATGTGTTCTTGTAAACTGTTGAATTGAAGACCCAGAGAGGGCTATGCCGTAGCTGAGGCAGTTAGTCATTGGCTTCCCACCAAGGTGGCATCAGTTCAATCACAGGTCAGGTCTTGCAGGATTTGTGATGAAAAAAGTTGCACTGGGATAGGTTATCTGAGTACTTCGGTTTCCACTGCCAGTTCTCATTCTACCAACTGATTCATATTCATTAATCGTCATATTATTGATACTGTACAGTCTCAATACTAACAGTGCCACAAAAAAAAAAAACAATCCAATCCAAGAAATGGGGCCTGAAGTAAACTTGTTTGTATGTTTCATATGAAATTTCTGACATGTCAGAATGTCCCAACAGCACAAAATTTATTTGGGTACACTGTACTTGAAGTTTTCATGGCAATGACTATCTTCTGGGATAGGGCTGTGCCATAGCTCAAGCAGTTAGTCGCTGGCTTCCCACCACTGTGGCCCGGGTTCAAGCCTGGGTCTGGTCAAGTGGGATTTGTAGTGGACAAAGTGGCACTGGGGAGGATTTTCTCCCAGTACTTCGGTTTCCCCTGCCAATTTTCATTCCACCAATTTCTCCATCATCATAATCACCTAGGGCAGGTACATTAGGCCAATCAGTGCCCGCCGTGCCGAGTGGACCCAGCTGGGCTCCACCCCCCACTATGCGAATAAAATCTCCTGGGATATGACACTCTGTAGTCTGGTAGAAGTTTACTGAAGTTTCAAAGGAACATATGCCACCATTTTCAGGATTAAGGAGTAAGCCAAGTAAGCACAGCATCACATCTCAGGTGACAATATTCTTTTCTTGTGTGGCTATATTTAAAAATAAACCTGCCCTTTCTTACAATGGGTTCCATCCATATCACATGATTCTACTTTAGTGAACAAATGGGACATTACAGATTCATTTGTGGGTGGTATATTGTGTATCAGTCATTCAGAAACATTAGCACTTATTCTCTTATTGTAGTAACTGACTTGTCTTATATCGTGTAACAATGATCTATAGAGACGAAATAAATACTTTACTTTACTTTACTTGAATGGTTTTGCATTCTTTTGAGCAGTTACTCTAGTCACTCATCCTTGCAATGTAACATTCAACTCTTGAAAACAATTTTTCTTCAGTATTTCTGTATATTAATTGATAATTTTTATATCAATATTTCCATTTAGAGGGACCTAATTAATGTCATGGTAGTATGTAGCTAAAGAAGAAATTACACACCATCTTCACCACTGCAGCCCAGATGACTGAAGGGCACAGTGGTTCTCTCAGAGGAGGCTCTGAATTAATAATTACAAATCACACAATAATTTACCAATGAAAATGAAACTAGGCAAGTACATACCACAGTAGATGTGGAGATATTGAAGATAGTAATATTGGTTTCCCTCTGCCTGAACATAGAGGCCAACATGAAGCTCCATGTTAATGAAAGTTGAAGTCAGCATGGCTGGAGAGACTGCAGTAGTTTTGCTGGTAACATTTCCTTTCAGGTCATCACTAGTGCAAGGTTAATGTTGGAACACCCTATTCTTCACCAGACCCCACTTGAAGAAGCTCAAAGAAGCAACGTCCTCAGTCCATGGTGGCCAAAGTCTTTTTGAGTAATTCTCTCCCCATAGAAACTTCTGATTTCTTCCAAGGCTGGGTGAGATATGTGACACACCACCTCACCTTATTGAAAATAACCAAATGTCAGCTCCCAGTCAACCAACTGGTTCATAAATTCTTTCAAATTGTCAAGGTAGACATTGGTGTTGACAGTTGTGTGGAAGAAGACCAGGACAACAGTGTGGGTTGGTGACAGAGACATCCCGTCTTTCTGCAAATGGAGGGGATACATGAATGGCAGGAGTATTTGTGACAGTCCACACTCAAGTATCCTGTGGCTGACGTATCCCAACAGACGAAACGAATCTCCACCACAAAACCATGTCATGTCCAAGTTGTCAGGGTTTTAGGCAACAAGTGTTTCACAACACTAACAGTAGGCCACTCTTTTCTGAATATCAAGAGGATGGAGTTCCTGGACAACAGCAACACAGCACAGATCAATCCTTTCTTTACATGCTGCACTTTGACACGAACTGGACACACTCGTCTCCTGCAATGACGTAGTAACTTCACAGGTGAAGGCTGGAGGCGCTGCCATGTGCCCTGCACCGTTATCAGTCCCCGCAGGTCGACCTTCTCACTAAAGAGGTTGCAGAGTTCTTTCAGTCCCTAGTTTTTGCTCTATCTTCGGACTAACCCTCTCTGATGGTGCTGCAAAACAGAACCGGTTTCTGTACGCTCTGAACGATGCCTAACATCGTTTGAACCGGGCTGAACAATCTGTATCCAAGTACAGGCGTACAAGAAAAATATGTTACGCAGTCGTGTACATTGCATCTCCACACAGCACGTGGAATTATGGGCTAAAGCACATGGTGCGAACCTTGCTCAGAAACATTGGCTTAATGTTGTCAAGTTTAGTCTTCATCCACAAATTATTTCGTTATTTACAATATTAATTCGGGGCCTCTTCCAACTGCATCGTTATGTTTAAAAGTATGTAGTAAATAACCATGCTTTCACTCGGTATAAAGTTCTCATCCATTTCATTGCAGCTGCACAACCGCTGCGCTTCACAAGTGAAGCCAGAATGTATGCTCGGTGACCACAGAATACACATTTTGCCGCCTACTGCCATCTGTCCCATTGTTCTGGATCGACAAAGATCCTTCACCAAAGAGTACAAGCGTTCCGGTCTCCAGCGCTCAGAGAGTCAGACGCCAGCAGACTGCAACAATTCAGTAAGGGATGCACTTTTGAAGAGGGAAAGAACCTTTTTAATGCTAATATGAACCTCCCCCATATACACAGTTGACACAGCACTATTATTAAATAAATAAACATTAACATCAAATCCTGGACTGACAACCGCAATTTAGCCCAGAATCTTTTGTCTTCAGATGTGCTATTCGTTCTTTAATCACTCATTACTGTAACTCTTCAACAAATCAGTCCTTATGTCATGGCATACCCAGCTGACAATGTAAGGGTTTACCAAAAAATATTAATAATTATGTGACCTTCTATTAAATTCTGCAATGTATCTCTGGGGTGTCTAATTTTTGAAAGCCCAAATTGAATTTGAAAATAATTGTTCTTATTTAAGGCCCATGAAAATCATCAGAATACAAAAAAAAAAGTTTTAATCTTACTACTATCCTTATTTCCAAAAATAAGTATATTTATAAAAGCTACCCGCCATTAGAGAGTAACCAAATTATAAAGTTCAAAATAAACAGCTTACAATGCGTAATTTTACCGTCTTCAGGGTGAATGGGGAGGGAAGAGGATACAATCTTACACATATAGGTGTCACAATGGAAATAAAAGTGGGGGTTTGGTGTGTGGTGCTCCCCAATGGGAAGGAACTACAACCCTTCACAGTGGGAGCATGGTGCTATCCAATAAACAGCACATCGTTCTGTGTCCCACCTTTACTTTCATTTCAAGATCTATATGTCATCCTTCTGCCTCATTAATTCTGGAGATGGTGACTGCAATGTACAAACAAATGTTGGAAAAACTTTGACATGTGACCCCACTAAACCCTGAAAGCAGAAATTACACATTAGCACTGGCTGAAAAACATAAAGAAAGGAAAGTCAGTTTTGACGTTTTACTGCTCTACAAATACTGTATTGCAACTGACTCAATGTCACTGATATTTTCAGGGGTCTCTTCTGTCCACACAAGAACAACAGTGCCCAATGTCATTCCAAATAACACCCCCACCTGGAACCAAGCCTCTTGTTGTGTTCATCAACCCTAAATCAGGTGGACGTCAAGGGGGAAGAATGCTCCGCAAATTCCAGTATCTCCTCAACCCAAGACAAATCTATAACTTGGCTAAGGGAGGGCCAATGACAGGGCTTACACTGTTCAAGGATGTTCCAAACTTCAGAGTGATCTGTTGTGGTGGGGACGGCACTGTTGGATGGGTCTTGGAGACAATGGGTGTGTATCTCTGCAATATACAATGGTTTCCTTCTTAACAGTGCTCAATTAATTACTTTTCAAGCTTAACTTAATCATTTATTTATTTATTTATTTATTTTTTACCAGGAGGGTGAAGTTCTGGGGCAGAATTAACAATAATCTTCTCCTTCTGATTGTTTTAAGGGTTAAAAATTGCTTAATAATAAGACTCCTATAACTACAATTAACTTTGACAGTATGAAGGTAGTTTCAGTACCTGAAATTACATTTATTATTTACGATATTATGAATGTTGGATATATCAGTAAATATAAATTATTTTTATGCGTAATAACCGCCAGGTATTTTTTTCACCTTATGTATTTTTAAGCCTTCAGATCAAATGACTTACAGATTAACTCCTTGCCATAATATTTCCTTTACACCAGTTAAGTACCAAATGGTGTGATCAACTGGATAGCATTCTTTCACATTTTGCAGGTTTTGTTTCATATCTTAGCCTGGAGATTAGCTATGCAGTATTCTGGGTTACACAGGCCTACAAGAATTTCCATTTATTATCTGTGTAGTATGAACTAAAACTTTGAGCTTTTGTGAACAGATCGAGTGCAGTTCGAAGAACAGCCTGCAGTTGGTGTTATCCCTCTAGGCACTGGCAATGACCTGGCGAGGTGTCTACGCTGGGGTGGAGGCTATGAAGGAGAGGCTTTACCAAAACTGCTCAAGGTAATCTTGATAAGAAGGCATTACATTGTTTGGGTTTGGTACAAAATGTCACCTCCTTCAACACTCTTTCAAGTAATGTCATATTTTAAGTGTATATATACCCTTCAGTCTATATGTGTAATAAAGCAGATGTCTGCATGTTATAATTTCAAATAGAATAGAGATGGCCAAATATTTTACCTTATGAGTGACTTTGTCTTGTGCAAAGTCCAGATGCCAAGACTTATGATTATGTAGCTGGGTGGTTCAGGAATGTAAAAATAAGGAAGGGAAGGGTGTAGAGCAAAATATGAGTTGGTTCTTCCATGTTCCTCTGCATTTGGAATCCAATGAAAGATTAAAAAATTTGTACCTGGTGTTCAGTTTTAAAAACACCTGATATTGCTTGTCTGGTAAATACAATAGGAATTTGATTTGGTTTTAATTACAGCACAACTAACATAGTCATATTTATATCTCTGATATTACTAGTACTATTACCACATTTGTTATATCGCCATTCTCTAACAAATGGTGAGACATGCATCTACATTTTGGAAGGAAAAAATATAAAAATCTTTCGATTCCTGAGTTTATGCAGTATCTATCCACATGCATACTGTTATATACAATTTGGTTCCTTTCCAAGAGTTTCCACATTCTAATTATTGCCTTTATAAAAATACATTATATGTTTATTTATTTATTTATTTATTTATTTATATATTTATGAGTACAATATTATATTTAAGCATCCTGTTACACTCACACAATTTTAAACTACGGGCAGTGTAGCAGCTATGTAAGAATACACACCTGATGATGGCCATTTAGGGCCGAAACATGAAGTGTGGAGGAAGGGAAGAAGAAAGAACTACAATTAAATTGTTGCACTTAAAATGGAGTTTGTCTCATATACACTATATGAGATTTTAAATGTAATAATGTAGGTATATGAAGTTATAATTGAGATACCATCATAATCGTCATGCAAATTAAAACATAATTTTAAAGTGTCATTCATTAAATTAATGCTGGGGGAAAAAGATCTGTATGTGGTCAAAATTCTTGTTTATAATGGACAAAGTTCACATGTCTGTTTTGACCAAAATAAATACTGACAGGACAGTGGGAGATATACAAATTAGAATTTTATTTAAAATGTAGGCCACAGACTGCCAACCGACTATTATTGACATAGATAATTATGAAATTTCAATTAAGCAGAAAGGGACTAATTGTTTCTCTAAGGAATGTGATCTCTGGATGTCATCAACATAGCTCTGTGGGAACCCCCACATACTAACACGCAGCTTCGTCTGTCTAACAGACAGCATTCAACTTCTGCTCAAGCCAAGTCAATGTCACATTCAGAGTCAGAGTCAGAGTCAGAGCCACGTTGCAACTGATGGTCAGTCAGTCTGTCTATCTTGGTGTCGAGCCCCAGCTGGGGCTCATGACCAGAAATTCTTTTGAATGAAAGTTACTGTCTTGTCCATGTATAGCGCCCTCTCCGATGAGAGGTCGGGTCTGTCATTTGTCAGTCAGTCTGTATTACTAAGTCCACTGTCTGTATTTACATATATTTACATATACACACTTATTTCTTATTTCAATGTACAATATATACACGGCCTCTGTTAGTCCAGGCTAGGTACAGCAGATTATGCCCTTTTTTTATATATCTTTTTCCTAGTAGTATTAGCTACCACGGCAGTCTAGTCAGTTGAACGGTCGTATGACTGACCGCCGCCAAGTTTATGCCTCTTATACTTTCTGTGGCGGGCTTCGCCTTGTCCGATTTTGCGAACATTTTCATTTTCATGATTTTGTATGACTTGTGCTTGTTGCCTGCATAATTTTGTTATAAAGTCATATACGGACGGGATTTTGAATGCCATGTACAAATCGCGGACCGGTGTACGCCTTGGACAATTGCCAATCGTGCGGAGAACCTTGTTTTGCAGGCGCTGCAATTTCACTAGATGGGTGTCTGCCGCAGACTCCCAGGAGGGACTATCAGAAGTCATTATGGATCTAATACGAGCTTTATGAAGGGTTAGTTTAATGTTAGCGCTCAATCGCTCATTTTTGAATAGGGAATACACTCTAATGAATGTTCTGAAGGCCTCGGCTTCGATCATTTCTATGTGTAATCTCCAAGTCACTCTCTTATCGAAGATTACACCTAGATATTTTGCACTATTTACAAATGGAATATTTCTTCCATTTAGAGTAAGACAAGAATCAGGCAGTCGACGACCACGAGAGAAGTAGACCCCCCGAGGCTTATCTTCATTAATTTTTATATTCCAGCGCTCACACCACGTCTCCATTGAGCTGAGACCGCGCTGGAGTTTTCTAACAACAAAACCCTCCTTGCGATCTGTCGCATATAGACAGGTGTCGTCCGCAAAGAGGGCCAGGTGAACACCATATGTCTGTGGGTCATCATTTATATACAAATTGTAAAGAATAGGGGAAAGGACAGAACCTTGTGGCACCCCTGCTTGCATTTCCCTTGGCGTTGACATTTCGCCTTCAACAGAGACCCTGAATTTACGTTTAGATAGAAGGACCCAATAAGCTTGGTCAAAGAGTTGGGGAATTCCAATTTTGATAACTTAAACAGCAATCCTGAGTGCCACGTGGTATCAAAGGCTTTTTCGATGTCCAAGAACACTACAGCCGTAGACATTTTATTGTTGAAATTTAGGGTCACGTGGTCCGCCAGCCTCATACATTGCAATGTCGTGCTGTGACGTGCACGAAAACCAAACTGACTTGCGTTGAGCAGGCCTCTTTCTTCAATATGTTTACGGAGGAATTTCAAAATTATTTTTTCGAATNTGGAGTTTGTCTCATATACACTATATGAGATTTTAAATGTAATAATGTAGGTATATGAAGTTATAATTGAGATACCATCATAATCGTCATGCAAATTAAAACATAATTTTAAAGTGTCATTCATTAAATTAATGCTGGGGGAAAAAGATCTGTATGTGGTCAAAATTCTTGTTTATAATGGACAAAGTTCACATGTCTGTTTTGACCAAAATAAATACTGACAGGACAGTGGGAGATATACAAATTAGAATTTTATTTAAAATGTAGGCCACAGACTGCCAACCGACTATTATTGACATAGATAATTATGAAATTTCAATTAAGCAGAAAGGGACTAATTGTTTCTCTAAGGAATGTGATCTCTGGATGTCATCAACATAGCTCTGTGGGAACCCCCACATACTAACACGCAGCTTCGTCTGTCTAACAGACAGCATTCAACTTCTGCTCAAGCCAAGTCAATGTCACATTCAGAGTCAGAGTCAGAGTCAGAGCCACGTTGCAACTGATGGTCAGTCAGTCTGTCTGTCTTGGTGTCGAGCCCCAGCTGGGGCTCATGACCAGAAATTCTTTTGAATGAAAGTTACTGTCTTGTCCATGTATAGCGCCCTCTCCGATGAGAGGTCGGGTCTGTCATTTGTCAGTCAGTCTGTATTACTAAGTCCACTGTCTGTATTTACATATATTTACATATACACACTTATTTCTTATTTCAATGTACAATATATACACGGCCTCTGTTAGTCCAGGCTAGGTACAGCAGATTATGCCCTTTTTTTATATATCTTTTTCCTAGTAGTATTAGCTACCACGGCAGTCTAGTCAGTTGAACGGTCGTATGACTGACCGCCGCCAAGTTTATGCCTCTTATACTTTCTGTGGCGGGCTTCGCCTTGTCCGATTTTGCGAACATTTTCATTTTCATGATTTTGTATGACTTGTGCTTGTTGCCTGCATAATTTTGTTATAAAGTCATATACGGACGGGATTTTGAATGCCATGTACAAATCGCGGACCGGTGTGCGCCTTGGACAATTGCCAATCGTGCGGAGAACCTTGTTTTGCAGGCGCTGCAATTTCACTAGATGGGTGTCTGCCGCAGACTCCCAGGAGGGACTATCAGAAGTCATTATGGATCTAATACGAGCTTTATGAAGGGTTAGTTTAATGTTAGCGCTCAATCGCTCATTTTTGAATAGGGAATACACTCTAATGAATGTTCTGAAGGCCTCGGCTTCGATCATTTCTATGTGTAATCTCCAAGTCACTCTCTTATCGAAGATTACACCTAGATATTTTGCACTATTTACAAATGGAATATTTCTTCCATTTAGAGTAAGACAAGAATCAGGCAGTCGACGACCACGAGAGAAGTAGACCCCCCGAGGCTTATCTTCATTAATTTTTATATTCCAGCGCTCACACCACGTCTCCATTGAGCTGAGACCGCGCTGGAGTTTTCTAACAACAAAACCCTCCTTGCGATCTGTCGCATATAGACAGGTGTCGTCCGCAAAGAGGGCCAGGTGAACACCATATGTCTGTGGGTCATCATTTATATACAAATTGTAAAGAATAGGGGAAAGGACAGAACCTTGTGGCACCCCTGCTTGCATTTCCCTTGGCGTTGACATTTCGCCTTCAACAGAGACCCTGAATTTACGTTTAGATAGAAGGACCCAATAAGCTTGGTCAAAGAGTTGGGGAATTCCAATTTTGATAACTTAAACAGCAATCCTGAGTGCCACGTGGTATCAAAGGCTTTTTCGATGTCCAAGAACACTACAGCCGTAGACATTTTATTGTTGAAATTTAGGGTCACGTGGTCCGCCAGCCTCATACATTGCAATGTCGTGCTGTGACGTGCACGAAAACCAAACTGACTTGCGTTGAGCAGGCCTCTTTCTTCAATATGTTTACGGAGGAATTTCAAAATTATTTTTTCGAATAGTTTTCCTGTCGTGGACAGGAGGCTGGTCGGATGTAAATTTTGAGGAAATTTCGGGTCTTTACCCGGTTTAGGTAAAGTTATTATTTTTGCTTCCTTCCAAGTATTTGGAAAGTGAGAGAGCCGAAAACAGTGATTGAATAAGTGAGTTAGGTGAACCAATGGTCGCCTTGGAAGGTGCCTGAGGCATTCATTTGGGATGCCGTCAATTCCACAGGCCTTT